ATTTAAAGACACATGAAGAACAAATAAAAGAGAAATTAATCTGCTGACACTACATCACTGCTCTCCTCTAAACAACAACAAGGCTGCAAGAGAAATAAACAGGAAGTGTACAAAGTATCAGTGTGTGCTAAAAGTGGAACAACAGAGTAACCACTTACTTAAACGCCCCAGTTTGTGTTCAACAGCCACAACCCCAACTGACACACAGTCCCCGCTCTTTTTAACAAATCATTCATCATTAGTTTTTCTAATTTCTCTTACAAACGCTCACATCACATTACATTAATTTGGCTGCAGCCTTTAAATAACAGCTGGAATCAAGAAGAATTTATTTTATTTTACAGAAAATTCATCTTCGAGAAAGTTAGTGTTTGTTGCACGGACAGTTAACATCACTGTGCACATATTTATCAACCACTGCAACAATATGTATATCGTTTATTAATATTATTAACATTTTAACCCATTTCCAGGTGTTTCCATGAGTAGAAAACTAGTTTCCAGGCTGCGTGGGAAACCTGCTAATAGGCGATTATTGGCAATTATTTTCTAAATCAACTATTGAACCTGAAACTGAAAAAAGCATGAGCAGCAGGAGGCTGTAAGGACCAAAACCTCACGCCACAACAGTTTCTTTCTGTCTGCAGCTGGTCTCAATAACACCCACTGACACTGACTCTTAATACCCACCCTGTATATTACATTAATGCACTCCCATTTCCTGTACATTTTTCCTATCTTCATTTATTTATATTTTAAAAGTCTATTTTGTGTGATTTGTATATTTTATGCACCAAGACAAATTCCTTGTATGTGTAAAAACTTAATTCAGATTTTCTGCTGATCGACGACGTCTGTAAATAAATCTGAGTGTCCATCATTGTTGGCACAGAGGGAATCCACATTCTTCAGGTCTGTAAGATAAACTTTGTTTCTGTAGTCCTGTAGTTTCCTTTTTCATTGTTTACTTCTGAGTGTTACTTCCTCATGAAGAGATCCATCCAGCTGGAGAACAACAGCAACTACAAAAATTCTCAAAACAGTGTCGGCTCAACTGAGTGCAGATTTCAGCCCGTTTCTATACAAATATCCCATAATTCTCTGTGTTCCCATGAACTTAGACAGTTTGACTTTGACTGAAGGGACCTGGCACACCCACAAACCAATGAAAGCTTCCCACAGTCTCAGTGTTCAAAAAGGTCTTGTTTCATCCGACCAAGAGTCCAAAACCAAAAGTTATTCAGGTCAGATGAAAAGAAACTAATTACAGAAACTACAAGCAGAGTTTCTGACACGTTTGCTTGTTAAACAAACTCAGCAGTTAAGTGATTATCACAACTGCTGTTCATAAACCTCTCGACTGACTAGTTGATTAAATGACTGATCATTGTGTTCGGGCCTATTGCTGCTTGTAGCTCTCTCAATATTAGAGAGCACCACAGATCTAGAACAACTTAAATGATAAGGATAAAACAAACAGACTCCTTCCATTTAGATTGTTAAAACAACGGCCTTAGAACAGGAGTGGGACAGTAAATACTGCAAACTGTACTGTACTTTTACGCAAAGAAAAAGAAAAAGAAAACTTTAGACCCTCAAATGTCCAACAGTATTTTATTAATTTGGTAGCAGAAGAAAATGTATAAATGGTCAGAGGTTTAAATCAAGGAGCAAACTTCAGTTAATAACTCTTTTATTATCATCAAAGAAGGTGAAGAATGGCAGTGAAGAGGGCTAATATGTAAAACAATTTGTATAGCAGCAAGTTAACAGCAAGTAGATTTCTTCCACATGTACCTGACCAGGAAAGTTAAAACACAAACAAACAAAAACATGTTGAACCCTCATTAATAATAAAAACTAATTCATTATTTCACTTGGCTTCAACTGTTCACTTTTCCATTCTGAAATATATATATACGTATATGTACATAATCTACCATGATACATAAAATCATGTGCGGACACTATTTAAACTCACCTAAAGAACCGATCTCCACAGCTACTGCTCGCCAGATAAAGTCTTTTTTGCCATTTTAATTCAAGATTTCAGGTGCGGCGACACTGGACAGAGGACAGTTATGTAAAGTTCAAATAGTTTTCAGTTGTTTTCTCTGAATTTAAAGAACTTAATACAGTTCCATATGAATGGTAAAAAGGTTGAAAGACCTCCAACTGATCACTGATTGCTTTGATCAGAAGAAGACCAATCATCGGTGAATAGAGTGCATCTCTCGTTCAGTCTTTTCTTTCAGTTCTTACACCTGACACACTCACTGAGGAGCCCTTCACCCACACCCTGAAAACTGGGTAGAGAGGCTCAGTGAATCTAATGAACAAATAATACAAATAATAAATAATATCAAGATTAAAGTATTCTGTTAGAAGTATGAAAATGAAAGATAATCTTTAAAAATAAAAGATAAAAATAAGAAAAAACAGAAATAATAGTAAATTCAACCCAACAAATTCAAAGGTCCATCCAATAATATTAAACTAAGTTACTTTTATTCAACTTTTTGTTTTTATTCAATATAGACCAATGCAAACAGATATAAAAAGAGTATAAAAACAATCAGTAATCCTAAAAATTACAGGTTGGTAAATATACAGGATTAACTGCAGTAGATCAACAGAGAATTGGATTATTTACCATGTACAAATATCACATCTTTTCACCTCATTCTAAATTAAATAATTTAAATAACTCAAATCTTGTTTTAACTGTTGTTCACACAGGAGATAAAACTTTGGGTTCTGGGTAACTTATTTAAAAATATTTTAAAATATTTGTCATCATGAGCAAAATATTAAAATTGTGACTCTGGCGCCATCTGGTGGCACCATTAAGAACGTTTCTATAATCTTTCTGTGTTATTAAACTGTAATTTTTATTCCATCAGCGTAATTTCATTAAAAGTATACATTAAAACTTTGAATATTACCAATAGGCATAAATGAAAACAGCAAACATTTTAATTAAGCTACATTTTATGGGAGGAACAACAAGAACAGGAGAAGGTTGGAAAGTACAAGTATATAATATATATATAATTAACTACAAAATATATAATAATATATTTAGAAAAGTAACTTAGGTAGGGTTGTGCAATGTCAGCTCCCACTCTTGTCTATTTCCAGCTGTAATAATGGCAAAAAGAAATATACATAACAAAAAACAAATATTAAACAGTAGAAACATAATCATTTTGATGACCTTTAGCTTTACCAGTTTACTGAGAACGGTTAATGAACAACGGTAAAAACATCATATTACACAACACAATATCGCACTTTTCACCTTTATCAAAAAATTATAGCTTTGTGTAATTTGGCCATATTGCGATTTGGATAATATTGCGATTAATTGTGCCCTAAATCAACACTCAAGAGTTGAGTAAGCATCAGTAATGAAAAATTATGTTTTTATGTGTAATTTGCAGCCAGAAATGATATTATATAAGCATTTAATAGTTGTGGTGTGGACTCTATCCACTTTTAAAGCAATATATAAATAAAAGATGAATAAATAAAAGAATAAAATAAGAAATCACTCAAACTGAAAACACAAAAAATAAGCCAAATATACACGAATGTAACATTTCTGTTAAATATGATTGAAAATAAATTGATCAAGAATTTAACTTTCTCCTCTGGCAATTACCAGACTAAACTGTGGATTTCTCCCTCAATCACTTACCAACCAACCTGAACACCATCCCTAAAGCCCCCTAATAACACCTCAATGTACCAACTCAGCACTTACTTTAGCAACCAACTAGCTTCAACTTAGCATTTATTTGAACAACTTAGAGCAATAAACTATCTAACAACCACCTACTGAAGCCATAGAATTAAAATATACAGCGTTTCTGCAGGTCACATTTAAAGTCGCAATTTCACCAATTTCTCACGCATACCGGCAAATATAACTACTCGGTACTAGACCTTTTGGATATCATCTTATGAAGGTCTAGTATGTCGCAGCTCAGTAACACCACATAAATGAGTAAAATACAGTAAAATATAATTACAATGTATGGCTACTGCATAAGAAACATTTCTAATATCTTAGTAACTATAAACGACAATAAGCAATTATGACAATTAGCAATGTGTCAACAGCTATGGTGATAAGTAAGACATATTC